GGTGACAAATTTGAAACTGAAGGAGTGTGAAGTCTGTGCTTCTAATCAAATCTCTCACCCCAGAGAGATTTGCACAACATATCAACCCCTTATTTAACCACCAACCTCCCCGTCCAGACACCAATTTTTCAGTGGTGGAACAAAGTGTGACCTGAGTAGTCTTTGGAGTTCAATTTCCCATATTCACTGAAACCTCATGAGACTTGCATCCAAGTCCAGATGCCATGGAATTATAAAACAAAATTATTTTTTAAAAATGCTTTCTAGAAAGAGGAATTTTCTCTGCAAGGCATCCGTGACACATAGGGATGGAAAGCACCCCCCAAAAGAGCCAATTTCCTGATTTTCTTTCTAGGCTCGGAGGTTAGTGGAAAATACCTCAGTTGGCCCAGTGAATCATAAAGCAGATTCAAATCTATGGTAAAGCTCTGTCTGAGCGATTTAGAACAGAAAAGATTTGCAAGGAAAAGGAGGATAGAGAATTTCTTTCTAGTGGAAAAGCCATTCCTATGACCCAAGAGAGTCCTACTCACCAGAATAAAAGATAGGACAAATTTCTAAATCACTCCATCCCTGGCTTTTCAACCGTTAAAAAAAGTCTCTCTTGGTCTGCCTTCTAGCTATTTTATCTCTTCTCTGGTATCCATCCCACCGAACTGGCAGATAAATTTCCTATCTTGAGAGCCAGTACAGGGCAAAATGTCACCCTCATCTTGCCCCATTTCTCAGCCCTGCGTTTGTGATCCTGTCAATGTGAACTCCATGTTTAGCATCTCTAATAACCTCTGGCACTTAAAGTGGCAATAGCTTCAAAGGTAGAAGAGAATTCATACAACCAGCCCCTGGCCTTGGTGAGGGTGGCTTTGTAGTTCCCTAGCTTGTCTGGTTTCTTGACTGAGGCTCCAGGCCAGCTGAGGAACTGGCACAGATGTTTTTGCCCAGGGCCTAAGTCAGCAGTGGGCTAGTTATGTGCATGGCTGTACAGCAGAGTGCTCCTGGCACACCCGAGCAATGTATTTCGGACCTGGTACAGAGCTATCAGTAGAGCCAGGTGAGTTACAGTTTTTTGTCTATTTCTTAGGTTAATTTCATCTCTCTCAATGGTACCATTTTCTTTACTTCGATGGTCACAATCCTTAGGGAATGTTACAAGAGATGGTGAGCTGCAGATTTAAAACAGGATAGAGTAGGGGACACTTGATTAGGGAATGAAAGAAACTCCGTTTTGTTTTAGAAATCTTCAGAGCATTCCAGAAAGCACACAGACAAAAGGAAATGAAAGAAGTATGACACTACTGTCCAGAGGTCAGGACAAAACACACACACACACACACACACACACACACACACACACACACCCCTTTTTCAGACACAGTGCTACATAAAACATCTAATGTACACTCACTACCATCAAAAATATAGCAGATATGTTGAGATATAGATACATATAGATATGCATACATAAGCTGCCAGGCAAATAAAGCAAGTTCAAGGTGAAGTGTACGCTTATTTGAGTGTTCTGTCTGACAGTTTAATCTTAATCTGTGATTGATTTCCATGAAAATGGGAAAGACCTAAAGTAGGATTGTAAATTCAAAACAAATCACATTTTTAAATTAGCAAATGTGATTCTATTTGGGGAGAGGAAGGGTGTGAAAAATCAGAAAATCCAAAAGAAGTAAATTCGGAGCACATTTCAATTCAATCCAATATCAATAAAAGATAACACGGGTCTTACTTTTAAGGAGCTTATGATTTAAAAGAGTAAAAAAGATGCAAAAATAAGTGTGATACATGGTAGAATGTTATAGACATAGGAGCCCAAAAATGACCTTTATTCAACTTCAAAATTCAATTTTTTTGAGCATTGGATATGAAGTCAAGTGAGATACGTGTGTTCAAATCCCAGCTACAGTGATTATTAGCTGTGTGACCCTGAGCAAGTCACTGAGCCTCAGTTTTCCCATCTATAAAATGGGAGTAAATAATATTCGCACTACTTTCCTTATAAAGTTAAGAAGACAGTGCTTTGTAAACTTTAGAACACTATGAAATGTCACCTATTATTATTATTGAAACAAAGTGTAACATCTTAACCGGAGGTTCTTAACCTGAGATTCATGAACTTTTTCTTTAATGTAATTTGATAACTGCATTTAAATGTCATTGTTTCCTTAGTAATCCTATGCATTTTATTTTATGCATTTAAAACCATTATTCTGAGACGTCAACAGGTTTCCACAAACTGCCAAAAGGGTCCCTTTCACACACAAAAAAAAAGGCTGAGAACCTCTATATTATGTTTACACATATGAACCATGTTTAACCATATCCAAGGTTTTTTGGTTTTGTCTTATTTTATTTTAATCCAAATTAAACAACCTTTGCTTAATCATTAGGATGTCATATAACTGATTATAAAGATGTTTTAACTTTTCAAGTAATTATTGGTTAGTTGAAAATTATTGATTAGTCCCAACTATGGGCTCAATTATTATAAATTCATTATTGATTAGTCTTGACACTAATCAAGACAGGGAACATAACGAAATATTCTAGCAAACCAGTATACTATGATCAAATTCAGCACATCAACAGTATTCAACAGTAGACTATCATTTCCCGAGCTTATAGTTAAAAACATAAGCCTCTTCTTATATACTTTAGGGCTGCCATACAGAAGAGCAATTCCGTTTTTTTTTTTTTGCATGGCCCCCAAATGCAGAATTCAAAGCAATGGGTGGAAATTGCAGAGAGGCAGATTTAAACCTGACATAAGGAAAATTACCCTAACCCATTAGACCAAAAGTGGGACGGGCTATCTTCAAGCAAAGTCTGGGTTTGATGTAAAGAGCATTCTTGTTCAGGTACGGGCTAGACTAGATGGCCTAAGGGTCCTTTCCAACTCTGTGAATCTGTAGCTTGTCTCCTGAGTCAGGATCAAGAATCTCAGGTCAGCATTCCACAGCTCGAGTCAATGGAATTGCCTTTGACTTTCTAGAACTATAGAATGTTCAAACTTGTATGTTCCAACTAGTCTGTTTTCATAGATGAGGGGAATGAGTCCCACAGAAGTGAAAGAAATTTCCTGAGATCACAAAAGTAGTTTGTAGCAGAGACTACACCATAACCAGGGTCAACCAGGTCCACTTAAGTGTTCTTTCTTTGGGCCCAGAATGGGGTCTTTGCTTGGTAACTCCAGCTCGAAAGAAATCCAGGCATGCTCTCACCAAGCTTATTTACAACAGCGTAGAAAACCTGATTTCCTTTAGTTCTCCGACAACCTTTGAAAAACAGAAATGGTAACCTGCATTATTGCAGCTGTGTAGACCTAAGTCTATGATGGTAAATGATTTTTTTCTTTGTTAATTCGATCACCTTCCCCACCTCATGAGATCCTTGCTCTCTATCTGAAAGAGACTCCAGAAGCCATCAAATCCCCCTCAATCAGGATGTCATGCTTCTCTGGTATGGATATGACTGTAATCAAGATAAATTATTAAGGGCAAGTCAAGAAGCTGCTAGAATTCATGGAAAATTCATTACAGATGAGGAAACTGAGTGTCCATAAAACCAGCAGAAATTTGTTTCAGTCCAAGATCAAACCTGGGAGATCGAACTGAAGTATCTCTGCTAAGAAGGGGAGAAGGGAGGAGAGGATATGGAAGAGAGAGGGTGGTGAGTGGGGAAGGAAAACAGAAAGCCATTTGTCATGTGTGGTTTCTAGCCGTTAATACTGAGGTTGTCAGTTGGTCTCAGCTAAAGGAGGGAAAGGTGAGAGATTTCTCATCTAGTACTGGGGTGTTTGAAAGCAGGTGCTGGGAGAGCACAAAGGGAGGGGTCTTTACCCTTAAATGATGAGAAGCTGATGATGGGAAGACAGCCTTTTAGAAACCTTCCTCCTGTACTCAGTAAAAATGAGCACAATCATATCTTTACACCAAAATTTTCAGTGGAGAAATCTCAGGACCCATCTAACACAGGAGGTTAGAAACCTATAGTCAAAACCAGAGTAGAAGATCCACCCAGTAGGAACTCCTTCTCTAACTTACTGTTCTGCATAGCTGGTTCTCTAGGAAGAAATTCTAAACTCATCATTTAAGTGCATTTTAAATACCACCAGCTATATTGGCTCTTCTCTGGTATTCATCTCACTGAACTGGCAGATAAATTTCCTATCTTGAGAGCCAGTACAGGGCAAAATGTCACCCTCATCTTTCTGCATTCCTCAGCCCTGCCTTTGTGATCCTCTCAATGTGAACTCCATGTTCAGCATCCCTAATAGCCCCTAGCACTTGAAGTGATGGTAGCTTCAAAGGTAAAAACCCCCGATCTTGGGGAGGGGTGGGCTTTGTAGTTCTCTAACCTGTCTGATTTATTGGCTGAAATTCTGGGCTAGCAAGGAAATAGGCACATAGATATTCTCGTCCAGAGCCCTAATTCAGCCATGGGCTAACTGTCTTTCTCTGAAAGAAAGTCTACTCACTCAGCAGCACAATGACTCTGAGCCATTCTGACCATAACTTTCCGTCAAACTTATCAGCCATGGTGCAGGCTCAAAATGACACCATCAGCACAGAGCTTTTATCCATAATATCCAGTATTCCACAGCTAATTGACTGCTGCCACAGAGTGCACAACTAAAGACTCAGAAGATAATTAGGTATAGTCCTGCCAAAGGCAGGGATGATGGATGACTCCTATATCCTGTGTTCTGTGGCAATAAGAATGACAATGCTGAATCAGAATACTGCGAGTAACATAATCATCCCCTCATTAGCCATATAAACATGACATTGATAATGATAACAGCGAACATTCATATAGTGCATCTCTTTCTGTTTCCCTGCCCATCCTCTCACGTGCTCAGGAATCAGCAAGCAGACAACAGAGTAAAAAATACAGATCATTGGTAGAAAGTTGATCTTTAGAGTTAAAATAACCATTTCTACCATGCTTTGGGTAGTCACCTCACAGAGAAGGTTGATTATATTTTTCAGAACTCCAAGAACCTTCTACACCCTCAGTCTTTGTCATGAAAAATGGGACCAATGTTGCATGTCTGGTGAAGGACTTCTACCCCAAGCCTGTGGATATACATCTTGACCCAGACAACAATACAACAGAAGGAGTGGTCACCACTGCCAATGGGAAGTTCAGTGCTGTCAAGCTTGGTCAATACAAGAAAGATCTGGAGCAAATTAAGTGTACAGTTCGGCACAACAATAAGACTGTGGAGGCTTCTTACAAAAAGTCTCATGAGGATTCCACTGACAAGAGTTCAGGTAGGATCTCAGGCAAACAAGGAGTGGGAAAAGAATAAGGGAAGTTGTGGAAGGGAATACTGAACTCATCTCCAGCCTCAAAATGGCACCATATGAGAAATGAATCATAGCCAGGCAAGGGCGCTTGGTTCAAACATCTTGTGACTGAAGGTAAGTAGCAGAAGGGAAAATTCAAGTACATGGCCCCAGAAAACTCACACCACATGCATTTCTATATCACTAATTGGGACATTGGGAGGAAACCCTTGTAAGATGTGAAAAGAAAAACAGCATACATAAAGACTCTAGGTTTGAGTTCTAGTTCTGACATTTACTTTGTTGATGTGACCATAAACACTGCACTTAGCCTCAATCTTCTTATCTGTAAAAATGGTGGAAATAATGCTCATGTCACTATCAGGAAAGTGCATTGTGAACTATAAAGTGTTTTATAAATGTAAGTTATTATTCTCATCTCCCCTATGAACCTCCACCAGCCAATCAGCCCTTTCCACATAACTTTCTCTTTGTTGTTGCTCAAGACTGAATGTTTACGGGGCACTGTCCAATCTAGACTGGTGCTCAGCTTCCCCCAAAAGGAAGCAGCCCAGCCTGTCCTAGCTATCGGATAACCATAGCAAACTCCTTCAGAAGCTATGCATTTAAAGAGCCAGCCAAATAACTTTAAATATTGGAATCATGAAGCAATAGAAAACATTGGATTAGAAGTCAGAATAATTAATAACTCACATTTTTAGATTTATAAAGCACTTTCTTCACAACAACACTGGGAGGTATTCAAACCTAGGTCTTCTGACTCCAAATCCAGCACTATTATCACTACAGCATAACATACTATCTATGTGACTGTGGGCAAGTCATTTCAATGTAATTCAGTTCAACAAACATTTATTAAGTGCCTATTATATGCAAGGTACTAAATGCACACAGTTGAAAAATGGCAATCTCTTACCTCAAGGAGCTTATAGTCTACTATAGGTTTAAGCTATGACCATGAATGAATACAATTCAAAGTAGAATGTCATAGGGTCCAAGAAAACTGCAAAGTACTCTAGAAATTTTGAGAAATAAGATCACTTTAAGATGGAGAGATAGTTGGAGCAGCTAGGTGGTGCAGTGGATAGAGCACTGGCCCTGAAGTCAGGAGGACCTGAGTTCAAATCAGCCCCAAACCAAACACTTGACACTTACTAGCTGTGTGACCCTGGGCAAGTCACTTAACCCCAATTGCCTTTAAAAAAAAAATATGGAGAGATAGTGAAAGCTTCATGGAAAAGATAACACCTGAGCTGTGCCTTGAAGGAAAGAAAGTATTTCAGAAGAGCAAAGGTGAGAAAGTAGTATATTCCAGGCACAGAGAATGCCCTGTGCACATGTAAGAGGAAGGAGAAGTCAGAATGATACTGCAAAACAGTTAGTAATCTTATTTTGACTGCAATATGGAGTACATTAATGGGAGTAATATGAAATAAGTTTGGACATGTAGATTGAAGCTAAAATGTGTAGGGCCTTAAATGCCAGACTGTAGAGTGATTCAGAATCAGAACTTTGCATTAGCAAGATAATGTTTGAAGTTATGGAAAATATAAATTGGAGAAGAAGGAGACTAGGGTAAGGAGTTAGTGGGCTGCAATGAATCAAGCAAAATGGGCCTGAATCAGTATGGTGGCAGTGAGTTGAGAGGAAGGGATAGACATGAAGGATATTATGGAGATAGAATAAGCAGGACTTGGCCACCAGTTGAATTTGACAGGGGCAGAGGAGAAGGAGAGGGAAGAGTCAAAGGATGAATTAGTTTTTGAGCCTAGATTTCTGGAAGAAATCATCTGCATAGAAGTAATAATTAAAGCCATGGTAATGGAAGAAATCCCAAAGAGGAAAGACAGAGCCTTGCAAGGGACATAGACTTAAGGGGGCAGTAAGACCATGACCCAGAAAATGAGACTGAGAAAAAGCAGTCAGAAAAGTAGAAGTGAGAAAGAGAAGTGTAATAGAAGTTATAAATGGGCAGGATTTCCAGAAGGAGAAAGAACTCAATGGTAGTCAATGCTGCAGAAAAATGTGAGGACTGGGGGAAAGGATGTTGGTGTTTCACAATTGAAAAGCTGCTGATGACCTTTGAAAAGTAATTTCCCCACCTTCCTGTGATATTGGAAGCCAAGCTGTACACAGTTCTTCATGCCTTTGTACTGGCAAACCCTAATATCTGGAATGCTCTTCCTTCTTACCACCACTTCCTAGATTCCTGGATTCCTTCCAGACTCAACTCACGGCCACCTTCAGCATGTGGTCTTTTCTGGTGCTCCTAGCAGCCCCCTCTAAGATTACCTTCTATCTACTCTCTGCATTTCATATACACACCTTGTTTTCTATGTATTGTCCTTCATTGTAAGCTTCTTGAGGTTAGTAACTAGATTTTTAAATTTCCTTTGTAGCCTCAGTGTTTAGCACAGTGACTGAAACATAGCATGTGATAGCAAAGGTAAAAACTTTTTGCATGGGGCAGCTAGTTGGTGCAGTGGATAGAACTCCAGCCTTGGAGTCAGGAGGACTAGAGTTCAAATCCTGCCTCAGACACTTGACGGTTACTAGCTATGTGACTTAATCCTAATTGCCTCACCAAAAAAAAAAAACTCTTTGCACCTCAAAGTGCTCTATAAATACCACCTGTTGCTGCTCCAGTCAAGCAATTCTGCTTTATTGTTGAGGTGTTTCAGTCATGTCTGACTCTCCATGACTTCATTTGGGGTTTTCTTGGCAAAGATACTGAAGTGGTTTGCCATTTCCTCCTCTAGCTCATTTTACAAATAAGGAACTAAGGCAAACAGGGTTAAATTACTTACCCAAGGTCACACAGCTAATAAGTGTCTGAGGCTGGATTTGAATTCAGGTCCTCCTGAATTCCAGGGCCAGCACTCTACGTATCCACTGTGTCACCTGGCTGCGCCATCTAGCACCAAATGAGTGTTAACTGATAAATGCAAGGTGAGGAAGTGAAGGTAAGGAGTATAAACTACTTTTTCTAGAAGTTAGGAGTACAGGAAGGAAAATAGGAGGGTGGCATGATCAGGGGAAAAAATGTTATATGCCAGGACAGATCTGAGTGTTATACATATAGGAAGTGATGAAAGGAGCAACAGAGAGGGAGCAACTGAAGATGGGTGAGAGAATGTTTAATAGAACAAGCTTCCAGAGGACAGAGGAAGTTTCAAGGGCACTCAACCTCGTTAGGCCTTGTTTATCTTTTCTGTAAATTTGAGGGGCTGGTTCAGATGATGCCTTTGAGCTTTGAAATGCTATGATTGCTTTGGCTAGAAGTAGAATACAGAGATTTATGTTTTTATTTCATTTTTTCTAGACCTAGAGGAACCCATTGGCCAGCCATCATCTTCCCAAGAGTGCCTCAAATCCACAGGTAAGTTTCAGGAAAGGATCCAAATGGGGGCAGAAGAAATTTAAGACCAAATTCTGTAGTTCCCATATGGAGTGAGAGGGGGACCAAAAACAGCTGAAATTAGAGACTAACAGAAACTTTACCTAAGAAATATGGGAGTGTATAGCGATTAATCCTCCCACACTTGGTAGTACTTCCGAAAATTACTTTGTGTGTGTATGTATGTGTATGTATATACATATATTATTATTATTATTGCTAGTATTTATAGAATATTTTTAAAATATCTTATTTGATCCTCACAACAACCCTACAAAGTAGGTGCTATTATTAGCCTCATTTTATAGATAAGGAAACTGAGGCAGACAAAAGTTAAGTGACTGACCCAGGACCACACAGCCAGTAAGTATCTGAAACTAGATTTGAACTCAGGTCTTCCTGACTCCAAGTCCAGTGCTTTAATTACTACTCCACCTAACTGCCTCAAGATAGAAAAGTTTGTAGGCAGACAGATAGATGATAGATAGATGGATAGATAGATAGATAGATAGATAGATAGATAGATAAAGGAAAGAAGGAAGGAAGGAAGGCAGGAAGGAAGGAAGGAAGGAAGGAAGGAAGGAAGGAAGGAAGGAAGGAAGGAAGGAAGGAAGGAAGGAAGGAAGGAAGGAAAGAAGGAAGGAAGGAAGGAAGGAAGGAAGGAAGGAAGGAAGGAAGGAAGGAAGGAAGGAAGGAAGGAAGGAAGGAAGGAAGAATTTAATTTTCTAACACACTGTAAGCTCTTTGAGAGCAAGGTCTGTTTCTTGTTCTTTATATCCCCAGAATCTACTATATAGCACTTGGCACATAGTAGGCACTTAATAAAGGTTTGTTGAAAAAAGAGGCAGCAATAAAAAGAGCACTAGATTTATAGTCAGATGACCTGGGTTCAAATTCTGACTCGTTCTCTTATTGTCTGTATGACTTTGTACTATTCACTTGACCTTTCTGTGCCTCAGTTTCCTCATCTGTAAAATGAGGACATTAGACTAGACAACCTCTGAAGTCCCTTCTGAATCTACAACCTCTGAGACCCCTTGCAGAGCTGCCTGGACTGTCTGTGAGTGTGAATCCCAGAGAAGCTCTCGATCGGGGGTACCCCAGCAGAGACTTGGATCTCTGGGATGTTGCCTAAGAGTAAGTTTGATTACAGGGAGGGAAAAAAAGAGTAATTCAGGGCACAGGAAGGACAGAGTCACCATTGAGTGGCTTGCTTTGGGCTAGAATCCAGTCACAGCCAATGTTACTCTGCTCATTTTCCTCTTCCATAGTACAAATTGAGAAAGTGAACTTGCTGTCCATCACCCTGCTGGGACTCCGTGTGCTACTCGCCAAGAGCATCGCTGTCAACTTTTTCTTGACTATCAAATGTTTTTTACTCTAAGGTGAGAATAAAAATTGGCCACACTCACTTTCCACCCAAACTGAGGGACCCTCACAGAAGAAGCAACATGAGAGTCAGGCTATTTTAATTACTCACTTCACATGACACTTGCTAGGGCCATTGGGCCATCGGCTAATGAACATATTTAACCTCTAGTTCTTTGCCTCGAAGACTCCCATTCCTTGCTCCTTTAACTTCCTCCTGGCATCAATAACTTGACCAAATATTCCCTAATCCTAGGTCCTGTCCCCAGGCTCCCCAAGCTTCGGACATGGGAGGCTGGGCTAACCCAATATTTTTAAACTTTCCATCAAGCTACACTAAAGGGCTTCCAAAGGACAGGTTATTGACTAACCATTCTCCTTTACTTGCAGGCTTCTCTACAGCACAGGGAAAAAAGAAACCAAGGATCCACTGAGATGTTTTCCCTTGACTTCCCCTGGCTGTGATGTAAATAGCTCTGTGGCTAACTATTTCGACTGGCAGGTTTTTTTTTTCCTAACTGCTTTTGCTTTGGAAAAATTAGACCCAACTCTTTTCAAAGCCAGGTGGAAAGATAGTCCTGGAGGAGGTGGCTGACTCTTCTGATTCTATATACTGATGCATTTCTATAACTTTGAAAAGGGAAATGGAATTGTTTCATCACTTTGGCTATCAGACTTAAACATTTGAAAAGTGTTTTCCCACCCTTCTGATTTCTACAGCCTCCAGAATTTGAACCAAGGGGAGAGAGGAGAATGTTCAGGTTTGTCCCAAACCCCACACCCACTCTTCCCAATGTGCCCATCTTCTCTGTGCTCACCTTGGCAGCCACAAAAAGAGGTAGTGTCAGAAACTTCCTTTTTTCTAGAACCCTGGACCTAGAAAAGACACCAGAGTTCATTTCAACCAACCCCTACTTGCAGCATGCATTCAACATCCCTGACAAATAACTGTTTAGCTTCTACTTAAAGACATCTAGTGATGAGGAACTCATTACCTCATGAGGCAGCCCATTAGAGGCAGCATGGCATAGTGGAGGGTAAGCAGGGTATTAGAGCACTGGAGCTGGAATCAGGAAGAACTGGATTTGAATTCTGACTCAGATACTTAACCAGTTTGTGACCCTGGGCAAAGGTCACATTTAATTTATCTAGGCTTCAATTTCTTCTGTAAAATGACAGGGTTGGACTCAATGACTTTCAAGGTCCCTTCTTGGTCTAAATCTATTATTTTATCAATTATTATTATTATTTAATGTTTTGTAGCTATAATTATTAGGAAGTGTTTTTATAATAAACTGAAACTGCCTCATTTAACCCTTTACCCTCTGTTCCCCACAGCTCTTCCTAAAGGGGCTAAAAAGAATTAATCTAATCTCTTTTCTACATAAGAGCCCTTCAAATATTTTAATATATAGTTCCCCTTGCCCCCCAAGTTTTTTCTTCTCTATGCTAAATATCCCCAATTCCTTCAACTCATCTTTATATGGCCTGGTTTATAGTCAACTTGCATTTTTTGCCTTTCTTTGTATTCTCCGAGCTTAATACAATGTCTGACATATAGTAAGCACTTAATAAATGCTTGTTGACTTGACTTGTTGATTCTCCTTCCACTGGTCATTCTCCTTTGGCAGTATTCCACTTTGTCTATGTCCCTCCAGGGCAGGGTACAGTGGAATCTCCCCTTCTGGACACTGTACGTGTATCCATTAATGTATCCAAAATCTATGTTACTTGGTTGGGCTGACATGTCACGCTGTTGAATAATATTGAGCCTACAACCCACCAAAGCTCTTCTTTCTGTCCTGGGACCATTCAATTTACTTAGCTCTTCACAGACAAAATGACATCAAGCCTCCTCCTTGACACTCTCTGAACATATTACAGAGTCACCAAAAAGCTTAGGCAGACATTTATCTTGGTGTTTCCAAAGAGAGACCAATACATAGAGGAGAGAGGACCATGTCTTACTTCCCAAAATCTAGTTAACTCAGAGTAGAAATAAGACCTTAAGGTCACAGCATCCAGTGCTGAATTTCCCTCCCTAGAAGTACATTTACTGACTCACTCCCTTACAACCTCCGCTCTGGTGATAGCAAGACCTAGTGGCTGTTACTCAGGCTAGATCCTCAGCTAACAAGAGATTCCAAAGACAAGGATGATTTGGGAGAAAATAGGTCCTGATTCTTTTGCCTATGGTATTAATACGCCTTCTGCTGTTTCTCTAAGATGCTGTCTGTACTACCCTATACTAAGTGGTGTTTTGTGCTTCCTGTCTCCTGGGGTTCTAAGTCATTTGCAGACCACATGAAGAGAACTGGGTGGGCCTCGAAGATTGCCTGGCTCACTGCTAGTCAAGCTGAATCAGAGCTGAGTGCCCCAAGGTCACACCACAGCTCCCTGAGACCCAGCCCCCAGGTTTCCTTCTGGTAGCAGCACCAGCAAGACCACTTGATATGACTCACAAGTTTCTGTTTCCCCTGCCTCAGCAAGTTTGCAGGTCTTTCCGGGCTTAACCGCTCCGACATCAGAATCTCAAAGACTGGGGGTCATGGTAGAGGATGGTGCGAAAGAAAACTTTTCTGGCTATCAGTAAGAGAACAGATACCTAGTGGTAGCCATGAAAGGTCATTTTCTCACTGAGGGGCTAGACTCCCAACCAGGTTCTATACAGACAAAACAAATTAACCAAGGAAATTCAAAACTGTCTAGAACAAGGGTTCTTAACCTGGGATCTACAAGGGCCAGGTCTGTGAATGGGAATGGGAAAAAAACTACCTTATTTCACTAACCTTCGGGTTGTTGTTTTTTTTATATAATCCTGTGTATTTAGTTTTATTTTATGTATTAAAACTATTACTCTAAGAAGGGCTCTCCAGGCATTGTCAGACTGCCAGAGGAGTCCCTAACACAAGAAAGGGTAAGAACTAGTCTCTAATACAAATCATTCAGGCCCAGGCAACTCAATGAGCCCATTACCGTTATGCCTTGCCTGCATCTTCTAACGTATGTTTACATGTGTTATAACTGTTACGGGCAGCTAGGTGGTTCAGTCTATAGAGTGCTGGCCCTGGAGTCAGGAAGACTCATCTTCTTGAGTTCAAATCCAACCTCAGACGCTTACTAACTGTGTGATCCTGGGCAAATCATTTAACCCTATTAGTTTCAGTTCCTGATCTGTAAAATGGGCTGTAAAAGAAAGCAAACCACTCCAGTATCCTTGCCAAGAAAACTCCAAATGGAGTCACAAAGAGTCAGACATGACTGAAAATGGTTGACCACATAATTGTAGCAGCAGCAACAACAGCAAGAATCAGCATTTAGATAGCAACTAAAGGTTGGTAAATACTTTACCCACCTCATCTCATTTAATGCTTAACAAGAACCATGTGTGGCAGACCCTACAGGTATCATTATCCCCATTTTGCAGATTAGGACACCAAGTCTCAGAAAGGATAAGTGTCATGCCCAAAGTCACTTTCCCAATAGGGTTAGAAGGTAGTCAGCATATATAGCATCATCTTCATTTTCATTTGGTTGGGATGAGGCAAGTAATATAGGGTAGTAGAGATAGCATCTTAGAGAAAAAGCAGAAGGTGTATTAATACCATTGGCAAAAAAAAAAAAATGAGGGGGCAGCAGGTGGCTCAGTGGATGGCGCACTGGCCCTGGATTCAGGAGGACCTGAGTTCAGATCCTGCCTCAGACATATAACACTTACTAGTTGTGTGACCCCAGGCAAGTCACTTAACCTCCATTGCCTAACCAAAAAACAAAAAAAAAAATGAGGACAGGGCCTGGCCATCTCGACTGTCCCAAACTGCATAACTGATTTTGCCACTCTTTGGTTCACCTCAACTATAAGACGTGGCTTTGATTTTTCAGAGAAAAGCTACTTCCCATGTGACAGGCTTATGAACTTTTACAACTTATGAGTATCATGTAAGTTACAGTAGGGCCCTTTGCAGGTCAACTAAGTAATCCCTCACCCCAAAATCAGTCAGTTGGCTAGCATTTATTAAGTACCTACTGTGGGCCAGGCACTGGGAATGTAAAGAAAGGCAACAGATAGTGCCTGCTCTCCAGGAGCTTATACTCAAATGCAGTGGTTTTCTTTTTTTTTCTTTTTTTTAATATAAATTTATTTATTTTTAGTTTTTAACATTCACTTCCACAAGTTTTTGAGTTCCAAATTTTCACCCCATCTCACCCCTTCCCCCACCCCAAGATGGCATGCATTCTGAATATTCCTTCCTCTAGTCTGTCCTCTCTTCTATCTCTCTCCCCTTCTTTTATCTCCTTCCCCTTCTATTTTCCTGTAGGGCAGGATAGACTTCTGTACCCCATTTCCTGTATTTCTTATTTCCCAGTAGCATGTGAAAATATTTTTTTAAACATATGTTTTTAAAACTTTAGGTTTCAAATTTTCTCTCTTCCTCCCTCCCCACCCACCCTCATTGAAAAGGCAAGCAACTCATATTGCTTGTTGTACATGTGCAGTTATGCAAAGCATGTCCATAGTAGACATGTTGTAAAAACTAACTCTATTTCCCTTAATCCTATCCTGCCCCATTTATTCTATTCTTTCTTTTGACCCTGTCCCTCCTCAGAAGTATTTACTTCTGATTACCCCTTTCCCAATCTGCCCTCCTCTCTATCATCCCCCTGCTCTCTTGTCCCCTTCTCCCCCTATTTTCCTGTAGGGTAAGACAGATTTCCATACCCAATTGAATGTGTATGTTATTCCCTCCTTAAGCCAAATCCTATGAGAATAAGATTCACTCATTCCCTCTCACCTTCCCCTGTTTCCCTCCACTGTAAGAGACTTTTCTTTTCTGTTTTTTTTGTGAGATAATTTACCCCATTCTACCTCTCCCTTTCTTCTTCTCCCAGTATAATCCTCTCTCATCCCTTAATTTTATTCTCCAGATATGACCCCTTAATCTTCAACTCACCCTGTGCCCTCTATCTATTTCTACATACATACATACATATAATTTTTTTCCTCCAACTACCCTAATACTGACAAAGGTCTCATGAGTTATAAATATCATCTTTCCATGCAGGAATGTAAACAGTTCAATCTTAATAAGTCTCTTATGATTTCTCTTTCCTGTTTACCTCTTCATGTTCCACTTGAGTCCTGTATTTGAAAGTCAAATTTTCTATTCAGCTCTGGTCTTTTCATCAAGAATGCTTGAAAGTCCTCTATTTCACTGAATGACCATTTTTTCCCCTGAAGGATTATACTCAGTTTTGCTGGGTAGGTGATTCTTGGTTGTAATCCTATCTCCTTTGCCCTCCGGAATATTATATTCCATGCCCTGTGGTCCTTTAATGTAGAAGCTGCTAAATCTTGTGTTATCCTGATTGTGTTTCCACAGTACTTGAACTGTTTCCTTCTGGCAGCTTGTAATATTTTCTCCTTGACCTGGGAACTCTGGAATTTGGCTATAATATTCCTAGGAGTTTTCCTTTGGGGATCTCTTTCA